TGGTTCCTAACTTTTGGTTCCCACATTTGTTTTGGACTGCAGACTCCAGAAACCCCACCCAAATGGTCAACAGTCAGGAATTAATGGGAGCTGAAGTCCAAAACATTGAGAGAACCAAAGGTTGGGAACCAGTGCACTAGAGGATCAAAAATCTCTTTCACCTGTTTACTCCAAGTGCTTCTTTTGAGTCAGTTTTCTGAAACATGGGAACCATTCCATCAGTGTAGTCGCAGCATATATCACCACCCATTGAAATCTGAAATTGCTCCATTAATTCATAGGAAAAATGTTAGGTAACAGACATCAAAGTATTATAAAGAAGCCGTTTAAGACTGTGTCCTAATAATACACCAAAATGTATCCTAACAATGTCATACCTTTTGAAAGGTAGAATTATGAATGGAAGGGCACATTCTTCACATACATTCTTGAAATGGGCCTTATTTAAAACCATCAAAATAGCAAACTCCAAAAACATGGATACCAAAAATAATTTTCTAGTTGAACACAGAAGAAAGAGATATGGATTGTAAAAGGGCTTATAATGATAAGTTACAGAGACATTAATTGTAATACTTTTATCAAATAACTAAGATATAACTACATTATGAAAAAATAACTAAGGTATAACTACATAACTACATTATGAGTGTAACTCAGCAAGGGGTATCACTACTTCTGCAAGTTAACTGTAATGCTTTTGTTACTATTATAGGTATGGGCATATGGTCTTAGAAGTAGAGCAGAAATGTCATACATTTCAAATGCTGGCTGGTGATGCTGGCTTGTGCTCTGTAATGAATTTTGAGGCAGTGACAAGGTGGATGGGAGGAGAGTGAATTTTTTACAGAAGGCCAATGGTGTGTACAATTCAGATAAGTTTTTTTTTTAAAAATCATTTATGCTATTTTTTAAATATAGGAAAAATAAAGAAAAGTAACTTTAGTACTTCTAGGAAACTCCACTTACAATTCTAGAACTCTCTAATACTTATTGCTTGAATGGTGTAGTAAGGATTGGATTGGATTGGATTGGATTGGATTGGATTAGATTAGATTGGAGTAGATTAGATTGGGAATGGTATGAAGATGGGTCTTCAACTGGTTTTAAGAAATCCCATGCTACCGAAATAGAGGCAGAGGTAACAGTCTTTGTCATTTCAGTGAAGAACTTTGGCAAGAAACTTTCAAGCTTGATTTGCCCTAGGTTATCTGCATCTTTTCTCATTCACCTGCCTAGGCTAAATGGAACTTGTTGAGCCAAGACTGCAAGGAATTTTTTCATCTGGGACATCTGTTGAAGGAATGTCACAACCCAATGTTCTGTGTATTCATAAAGTACAATTAATTCATGACTTTATATAAAGCAGAACTCCATAATCAAAACTGTATGATTTGGGAGGGAAATAACTGAATTCTTTTACTTCCCTTATTAATGCAACTGTTGGAAAATACTGCTCAAGCAAGCATTTTCTCTACAGTCTCTCTCCCCTTTACTATTATGACAATATGGCTTTAGGCAGTATAATGGTTTCCTAAATACTTCTACACTATAAGTATTGTCTCCCCATTTGCCCACCAGTTGGAATGAATGGTCATCAATGTGTCCATTTATTTAACCACCCACACCATTTCCAGGTGTATCTGTGGCCACATAAAGGCTCCTCTTTTTCTCCTTCTTCTATCTAAATCTTCTTCATTCTTCAAGATAGTAAGTGCCATCTCTGCTGAGCTGATCCTTTACTTAAAACTTTCTTTTAGTCAGCCAGGGCTTAGGGCCTTTGCAGACTGCTAGAAATAGTACAAATTGAATCCACTTTAACTGCCCTGGCTCAGTGCTAGGGAATCTTGGGAACTGTAGTTTTTTCTGAGACATTGAGCCTTCTCTATCAGAGAGCTCTGGTGCCACAATAAACTACAGTTTCCATGATTCCCTAGCACTGAGTCAAGGCAGTTAAAGTGGACTCAATTTGCACTATTTCTGGCAGTCTGCAAAGGCCCTTAGTCTGTCTGTCTATCTATCTATCTATCTACTTAGCAAATAACTATCTTTTTTTGTAAACTTTTTAATTTTAATTAGGTAATGAATATGAACATATCTATATGTAATTTTTTCTTATATCACATGTGAGCAGATGCAAGAGTAAAGTCCAAATATAGCAAGGATTGCTGCTAAACCAACACAGTGTCTCCACACT